TCACGGGTCTTCAGTGAATAGCATCGTGAGCATCGATCAACGCAGCTGGGGTAAAATGAGGTGCATCAACCATGTCAGCGAGCCTGACCACCCGATTCCATTAGTCGCCAACTTTAAATGCACTCGGTTGACCTGTTTTAGTCCCTTAAGGGACCAGCACTTGGATCAAGTATAGATCAAAGGGGAACGAATTTCATAACAGGACACAGACAGATATAATCCGAGGTCAGCCTTCTCCAACAGGATTTCCTGATGACGCTGATGGGTGCGCCAATCAATCATCACCATCATTGTCATCATCATCATCATCATCATCATCATCATTTCCACGCAGCCCACTTTCGGCAGTAATGACGTCATATGACAATAGAAGTGTTTCCTCGACCGCAAACAATGCACTGAAGCTAAATGGTTACGGTTTCGATGTTTTCTTTAGAAAAGACATTTGCTTAAAACCACAAACAGCATCACTTCTTGACTGATTTGTGATGTGGTGAGAACCGGACTGGTGTAAGATCCGAGGCGGAAGAAAATATAAATACAAACGGATATGTTATGTTGATGTTCCCACGAACTACGAACTGATACTATATATACAGATGAACAAAAGATTTTACCATTTGTTATATTTTCAATTGAAGATGTCTTTAATTGATATTCATATCTAAAACACAACTTATACTAGCGTTAAATTAGCACTCAAAGAAAACTTGTACATGGTTTAATTTTTGGAATTATGATTTAACACAATACTTTTATTAAAAAAAAAGTCGTGTTAACTGCAATAAAAACCAATAAAATCTGATGTTTAATTAATGCAAACATGGTAGTGGTCATGTGCCTGCAAATTAATTTCTTACCAGTCTCCACTGAAAAGAGGGCGCCGGGGTAGCCTAGTAGTTAAGGCGTTCGCTCGTCACGCCGAAGGGCCGGGTTCGATTCCCAATTTGGACACAGTGCGTGAAGCGCTTTGAGGGGTCTCCCGCCTGATATTGCTGGAATATTAATAAAAGCTAACTCACTCACTCACTCCACTGAAAATGGTTATTATTTGTTCATGATAAGACATGTACTTTCCTATTCCCTCGGTGCCCCAGGCCTGAAAGGAGCTCTTCCCGACAAATACACCGCGAACTGGTTACACGGAACAGTTCCGTTTAAATTCCTCCGGAATTTAATACAAGAGATCATAAGGTCCTCTTTCACCCCATGGAATATGACTAGATCAATAAAACCTTTACAAATGTTACGAAAATAATCAGATGGGTTTGTTAGAGAGAGAATTATCCAACAGTTATTGCCTGCTAATGACTTAAATGACTTAAAACCACACAATGAATTGTCAAGGCATAGATGAGGTTTTTGAGGGCGCGTTCATCATGAGCAACAGTTTGACCCTGATTTTCTAAGGTAATGTTGAAACAGTAGCACACAGTTTCATTCATTGTAACTATGCTCCGATCAATGTATATGTACAGTCTCGTGGGTTGGGGTAGCCTTGTGGTTAAAGCGTTCGCTCGTCACGCCGAAAACCCGGTTTAAATCTCAAAATGAAAACAATATGAGAAACTCATTTCTGGTTTTCTTTGTCCTGATATTGATGAGTGAGCGAGTTTCGGTTTACGCCGCTTTTTTACGTGGTTAAAGCGCTCTCACGCCGAAGACCCGGGTTCGATTCCCCACATAGGTACATAGTGTGAAGCCCATTTCTGGTGTCCCCCTCTGCGATATTAATGGAATATTGCTAAAATCGGCGTAAAACGAAACTTACTCACTCACTCACTCGTAACCCGTATTTACTATACGTGATACACATAGTTTTCCTTAATACCACAATACAAAACAGATATTTCCCGATCCTTCCATAGCAATACTGGCATTGAAGGAATTAATATTAATTAAAATACACCAAGTTATGTTATCCGTACTGGAACAACGAGTATATGAGGACTTTTGTGGAGAGTTTAATTGACAAATAAGGGTTTTATAATATATATTTACGGTTCTTACCAAACAGAAAGATGAAAAGTGGAAAGTATATATTAAAAACAGCGTTTGTCATTCTACCGAAGTGAGTGAGTGAGTTCACTTTTACGCCGCTTTTAGCAATATCTCGGCGGGGGGACACCAGAAATGGGTGAGTGAGTGAGTTTAGTTTTACGCCGCACTCAGCAATATTCCAGCTATATGGCGGCGGTCTGTAAATAATCGAGACTGGAACCAGAAATGGGCTTTACACATTATACCCATGAGGGGAATCGAACCCATGTCTTCGACATGACGAGCGAACGGTTTGACCACTAGGCTACCCCACCGCCCCATTCTACCAAAGGCTACATGTGAACCAGTTTTCGCTTGCAACATGCACAAGTTTAAACAATGAGACCGGTTGAAACAACACTTCTGGTCTACTGACCAGCTGGAATATTTACACAAATCCCTACACCTAGAAACAGAAAATGATAAATTACAGTAAACTTCGGTTATAACGAAAACGGTTATAACGAACTGTTGGCTATAACAAACCTTTGTTTTTCCCCCGGCCACTTGCTGTATATTTTAGCAGAAATGGATTGTCTTTATTTCCTGAAGTTACAGGTTATTGAATAACATTGTACATGGACACCCGTATGATGTAAATGGTAGTGATAGGTGTGTACATAATATCTGTACAATGAAATGAGGTTGCAAAGATTATACCATTTCTTAAAATATCGTGCTACCAGGAACATACAGTCTCTCCATGTTTAAAATGGAACATCCGAGAAACAGTCGGGTACACCTCCAAGCATAAAAGACATCGTCATTATTAGACCACCAGTCGAACTACGCTTATTACGAACTAAAATTAGTGGTACCTTTGAGTTCGTTATAACCGTAGTTCACTGTAGTGTGAGGCGCTCAACAGCGTATTTTGCACAGGTCGGTTTAGCTGAACCTTTTCCTTTTCGGATTACAATGAGTGAGTGAGTTTACTTTTACACCTCTTTTAGGAATATACCAGCAATATCACTGCGGGGACACCAGAAATGTTTTATGAATACAAACTAGTTGTGCGACTTATGTTGAAGGCTATTGTTTGAGAATATGCGACATTCGACTACGCTGCTACCTTGATAGTTCTTCCTATCATCTCCTGTGAACATAAGCTAACGTCTCATGACATGAATTACGTGAAGCTTAAAATGCAATACCGAGGTATCAGATTAACAATGATATATACGTATCAAATGTGAAACAGTCAATCTCACAACTGATTAGCCACATCATATGTTCCAGTGTTGAGACTGTTTGCTGACGCCTCTATGATCAAGTCGTTGAGAGGGGTATTAGGAGGGACTTGGCCTACAGCTTCACACAATGTGACGCTGATTATTCACAAAACAGGATTACTGTTCGAGATAATTCTGAGGAATTCAGGTTTCAAATACATGTATCGTTAAATGCTTTGGGATCTTATTTGTAATCCCTGTAGAGCAATTTTGCTCCTTGTTATGTAATTCATATTCCAGCCGCCTCAGCCCATGACATTATCCAGGTAAATCCCAGTGAGTTAATACCTGAATACTTCCTGAAATATCAAAATAGAATGGTGTGTGCATAATATCCATTTATGGCGATAAATAATTCCCAACGTCAGACGTTCCACCTGATGGATATCTTACAAAATATCAGAACAAACAGAATTATCAAAGTAGAAAGCTGGCTACTAAATATCTGTGTATATGGTGATGAATTAAACCTGAATTATCAAAGTAGAGATGTGGCTACTAAATATGGTGATGAATTAAACCTGAATTATCAAAGTAGAGATGTGGCTACTAAATATGGTGATGAATTAAACCTGAATTATCAAAGTAGAGATGTGGCTACTAAATATGGTGATGAATTAAACCTGAATTATCAAAGTAAAAAGGTGGGTACTAAATATGGTGATGAATTAAACCTGAATTATCAAAGTAGAGATGTGGCTACTAAATATGGTGATGAATTAAACCTGAATTATCAAAGTAGAGATGTGGCTACTAAATATGGTGATGAATTAAACCTGAATTATCAAAGTAGAAGTAGAGATGTGGCTACTAAATATGGTGATGAATTAAACCTTGAATTATGTGATGTATAAATCCACGTGGGTTATCAAAGTAGAGATGTGGATACTAAATATGGTGATGAATTAAACGTGAATTATCAAAGTAAAAAGGTGGGTACTAAATATAGTCATGAATTAAACCTGAATTATCAAAGTAAAAAGGTGGGTACTAAATACAGTGATGAATTAAACCTGAATTATCAAAGTAAAAAGGTGGGTACTAAATACAGTGATGAATTAAACCTGAATTACCAAAGTAAAAAGGTGGGTACTAAATATGGGGATGCATTAAACATGAATTATCAAAGTATAGATGTGGCTACTAAATATGGTGATGAATTAAACCTGAATTATCAAAGTAAAAAGGTGGGTACTAAATACAGTGATGAATTAAACCTGAATTATCAAAGTAAAAAGGTGGGTACTAAATACAGTGATGAATTAAACTTGAATTATCAAAGTAGAGAGGTGGGTACTAAATACAGTGATGAATTAAACCAAAGGTGGGTACTAAATACAGTGATGAATTAAACCTGAATTATCAAAGTAGAAAGGTGGGTACTGAATATCCATTTAAATAGATACCCATCGTCATAAGTTCCACCTGATGGATATCTTACGAAATATCTCGACATACTGAATTATCAAAGTAGACAGTGGGTACTAATATCCACGTATAGAGACGAATAAATCCCGAATAATCAAAGTAGAAGGGTACTAAATATCCTTTTAAAGTGATAAATAGATCCCCAAACTCATGAATTACACCTGATAGGTAACTTCCAAAATATCACGACATACTGAATTATCAAAGTAGACAGTGGGTACTTATATCCATGTAGGGTGATAAATAGATCCCACACGTTCCACCCGATGGGTAACTTACAATGTATCACGTGACGTGCAGGCTATGAGACGAACGCCAGACCAGCAGGTCTAACAACCAGCGAGGTCGTCAGTGGCTCGCCGGTCAACAGAGAACCTACGTGACCAGATAAGACCAGTGGACAAAGGGTGACCGTTTACCGGTCTTAAACCTTTTGACCGACACATGTTGTTGTGGTCATCATATATAAGCCTCAGTTCCCCTATAGTGTTTCCGTGTACAGGTGAGTAAGAGTGAAACCTATTGGAAAAACATTTCTGTGGAGCACTGTTTGAGGGTCGGTGAGTCTTTGTATGGTCATTTATAGAGTGAGATTTTGTTTAATTTAAATGTTTGTTCTCACTGTATTTGTAAAACTTTGATGATGTGTGTGTGTCGTAAGCCGGCTCGAAATCCGTTCATGCAGAGAGGCTACAGAAGTGTTCATGTAAACAGAAGCGTCTATGCTCGTACGCTACGTATTGGAAAGAAATAGCGCAGAACGAAAGCCTAGTCATCGGCATGTATCCCTAAAGAAATATTTGCTGTGTAAGAACGGGACAGTCGTGTGGTCGTGCGGAGAAATATCGAATGCCATACTTGCATATTTAAATATTTGCTGTATGTGAATGCTGTGCATAAAAGAACACGTTCCCCGGAGTAACTAGATCCATCTGTAAATACCCCCAGGCGGACGGGAGTTTCGCAAGGTGCTATGGATACAATATAAAGAGGAACTGGGTGTATTGAACAGGTGTGAACGGGGCATAAAAACCGGCCACACTGCTTACAAGCACAGAAGACCCGACTGATTCAAGGGACTGACTATAGCCCTACGACACAGTAGGTGTGTAAGTCTAGTGTGTGGGGGTTGGGGTTGGGGTTGGGGGTTGGGGTGAGAGGAGTGGGTGGGTGATTATGGGTGCTGATTATGGGTGCTGAATGTCTCCGTGTCTCTGTGTGCTCCTGTTGAGATGTGTGTGTGTGTGTGTGTGTGTGTGTGTGTGTGTGTGTGTGTGTGTGTGTGTGTGTGTGTGTATATGCATATGGGACTGTGCGTCTTCGTGTGCCCATTGTTTAGTCAGCAGTCTAGAAGTTGGCGAGTCAAGAATGAAACATACAACTTTAAAATGACGTTTCATGTAGATTCTTACATCGTTATCAAGTGACCCATGTGATATTTCGACTACTCCGTAAGTTATAGCTTTCTTATATGTTTTCTCAAGGTTAGTGATTGAAATCTATGTACAAAAGGACATAGGTGAGACAAGTGGGTTACATCTCTCTGACGGCGTCTCGTCTATATATATTTTTTGTAATTTAATGCATTGTCAACAGTGTCTGGTGATGCATTGCACAACTCTATATATGCATGATCACGCTGTATCCATTATTCAAATCGTAAGTGAACCTGTCAATATGGAGTGTCATGTTTATTGATATACTGTATAATTTCAGTGTGGCCTCCGTAGCTCAAGGGGCGGTGGGGTAGCCTAGTGGTTAAAGCGTTTGTTCGCCATGCCGAAGACCCGGGTTCGATTCCCGACATGTGTACAAGCCCATTTCTGGTGTCCCCCGCCGTGATATTGCTGGAATATTGCTAAAAGCGGGGTAAAACCATACTCAGTCACTCCATAGCTCAAACAATGTGGAGTGTGATTTACTTGTAGGTATGTTCAGTAACCACCATTTGAAAACTAATATGAGGTGAGGTGAGGTGAAATTGGGTTTAACGTCGTGCTTGAGAATATTTCGCTCATATGACGACGTGCATGTGTGTGTATGTGTATGTGCGGCTGCTTGTACTAGCCCAGACTTAAGCTGGTTTTATAGTGCTAGCCCACTGAGATACCATGCCGCAGTGAAGCATGAATACCCCACTCAGACACATTCAACTGACTCCGAGCCGACCAGTCCTTGTTGTACCCATTAATGCCAAGCACCAGTCAGGGACCAACAGGTACCATATCTTAACGTCTTTTGGTATGACGCGGTCGGGGATCGAACCCGCGTCCTTCCGCTCTCCGGGCGGACGTTCTAACCAATACACCACGGAGGAAAACTAATATGAACATAATGTGATGAAGAAGAAGGATTTGATGGATGTGGTCATCTAAACATGTTTAATATATCGATCAACTTACTGGTAGATATATAGATATATAGTTTTAGAAAAAAAATGAGTTGCTATTCCATTAGTCGTATGGCAGTAAAAGGATTAATTTTTTTGTAAAGCTTTAGTACTTTCACACTAAATATAAGTTAAGTTTTCTCCAGGATAAATATGTCATATATGTATTAAATATATATAAAGTGAGTGTCAGTATTATATCCTAAATGGATCTGCAATCGGATTTTGGTTCAAATAAACCCATCAAGTCCGTACCAAGCCAAAGTATACTACGTTCACATGGTGACCCCATACGGGGCTATACCTGAGGAAATCTCAACGCAATATGACATAATGTTGGTTTCATGCTTGGTTGCGTCAAGGCCGCGTTCTCCATAGCCTTGTTAGCGCACAGACTAAGTCAGACTTACCACTGAAGTACCGCTAAGATCGCTTTGTGGAACAAAACCTGTAGGGCGACTTGTCGACAGCCTGATTGCGTCACTGATGAGTAAGTAAATTGTACATATGCCCCCCGGGTTCAAAATAAGACTTCAATAGAGGTTTAATGGTTTTATTTCGATTATGTAATAAGAAAACGTTGCAGGTGTTTTGGGCTTGAGAAACCTCACTCGGTTCGCCTGTAAGGTAGTGTTAATCGGAAAGGCTACATACATCCTGTAAATGCGTTGAGTTAGTGAAAAAACAAACTTGATGTACGGGTATAAACTTGTGATAGTTGTACAGTGTTTGTACTTGTAATGATAACAGGATGTTTTAATACACATTACGCAAATTTATAATACATAAATATAAACACTATTATTTTCCAGAATGGTTGACGGCTATTTTGGAGGGGTGTCCACGGCTATCCTAGTTGCCATCTTCATGCTAGGATGTATGTTCTGGGGGCTACTGAGACGATGCGGTGTTTGGAAGGATGGTAAATGGACAAGAAGAGACTGGAGAAACCGCCCAGCTCCACCTGTTCCTCGACACCCAGCAGGAGGTCCAGAAACAAGTCACGTATATCAACAGGATGTGCATTGTGAGTCGTTTCCGGTTGTAACCGGAAATGGGCAAAATTTCAACTCTGGGGACATTTCGATGACACGAAACCCCGCCGCGTACTACGATCCCGCAAACTCTGACAATGTGTTTATTATATCACAAAATGTACTCCCGCCCCCTCCACCGTATACAAGGACGGCAGAGCCAGACCCGCCTCCACCGTATGCTCCGTGAACTTCATGGACATGTGCAACGAGTTTCTGTTAAAGTGACACGTCATTAACTGAATCGTCCAGTTTTCGACTGATTGATCCGAGAGGGGCACCAAGACTATTTGATGAACGTGATCGACTGGAGTCTGGTATTTTGCAATTGTGTTCATAGCTGTGTGTCAGTATACAGATATAATGTATTCTGTGCACATAGTTGTACTTCCAAATTTTACACTACATGAAGAATCAGTATCTAGCGATAAAGTGTGACTCCCAGGTAATTCTGGAGCATAATTGGATTTCATTACCGATGCTTTTAAATGGCGATATATGTCAAGTTAAAGTCGTCACAACAGCTCATTGTATGACCTAGTCTGAAACACGTTTCGTTCCTTTGTTACAACTGGGTTGTTTGATCCAGATTTGATTATTAACAGCGTGACGTGACATGGATGGAATATTGACTGTAAACAATACTCACCTGCGAATTGTTCAACTTGAGTGACAAAAGCGTTTTTTCACACATACCCAAGGCAGCATAGTGATGGCAAAAAGAATGTCAATATTTGTTTTGTGAGACGATTGTCGAGTATGTACGTGTACACACTAAACGTGTGACCCAGTCCCGTCTATTTCACCTAAGTCATAAACCTGTCTGACCCTTATCCCTCACATCGGCAGAAGTAAGCCACTGTGTCTGCCGGGGTGTAGGGTATTGTTCTTGTTACGAGCTCCGAATTAACTGGTTGGCGTATGCCTCTTCCTTGTGAATATGTTATTTTCTAAATAACTTGGGTCACAGTTTAACGTCAGTTGAAGCTGCAGAACTTACGTCATTTATGCATTGTTTATGAGAAGTTCTACCATACAGGTCACTGAGTGAGTGGTTGATTTACGCCGCTGTCAGCAATATCTTACCCACGTCATTTCCGTCTGATATCACGTACGGTCGATAACAAGGACAGCGAGCAAAGACAGCACGGTTTGACAGGTATGACCACGTACAATACTGTACAATCCCGAAATGTACTTTTGACATCAAAATGTGTGTGCGCGTGCGTGCGTGCGCAAGTGGTTGTGTATGTGGTGTCTCTGTGTGGTCAGTTACATTGAAGGTCGTGGTGCAAGTTGAAGGTCATGGCGTTAACATAATCGTGTAGGAGGTCATGATCTTAATATCATCATCTAGAAGGTCACATCATCGTGTAAAGGGTCATAGTGATAACATATTCATGTGGTAATCAGAATGTTCGTTACGTGTGTAAAAGCTGGTGCCATATACGTCATGTATTCAAGTATAAATTTATTAACTCTTGGTTAACACGTATAATATGAAATATTTATGTCACAAAGTTGCGTTTGCCATCGCCGTTTAGAAGGTCATGATCTTAATATCATCATCTAGAAGGTCACATCATCGTGTAAAGGGTCATAGTGATAACATATTCATGTGGTAATCAGAATGTTCATTACGTGTGTAAAAGCTGGTGCCATATACGTCATTTATTCAAGTATAAATTTATTAACTCTTGGTTAACACGTATAATATGAAATATTTATGTAATCGGGGTCCTTAACATGTAAATGGTAAAGTTCGTTAATGTTTGTGTACGCGAATGCTTGTATGGTACAATGTACAGTCTTTCATTGTTTTGTTAATATTTTATATGTGCCATAGGCACTGGTGATTCATTTATATTTTATCGCTGCGTATGGTTGCGTCTGAAAGCATGCACTTATTTGCTGGTAGTGGTTTCGAATACCAGATTGTCTCGGATTAAGACCTTAGGGACCAGCACCCCATGCACTTGGTGTAAGTGATCGCCATTGTAGGATTATATCAGTTCGAGATCTCATCCCACACTGACGCTAAACACACGCATGGAGTCACGTAGCTGGAAATAAACAAGTTCTGATTCAGATTCGGAATAGATGTACGAATTATTCCGTTAGAGGTATAACCAGACATGCTGGCTGGTTTCCTGACATGCTGCGTGTACTTTAAAGTGTCACGATGTTAGAGGGTTACGTCTCTTTGGCATGGGAGGAACTTATGATCATGGAATCGAATCCAAGATTCGTCATTTTTATCTTTATAGGTTGGTGGGACTGTACCCGTGTTTGGTCGTCCCCTTACATCGTGCTGACACATCGTGATGTGACTAAAACCGAAGCGTTCATCCAAACCCATTCACCCAACAAACAATATATAAAGATTCACTCATTCGTGCTATATGTTTCAATGGGCGTGTCCTATCACTAGTGACGGATGAACAAGCTTCACCAGCTAACGAGAAATAACCTCATAACCGATACCTCAGACTGAGTACATAATTACATGAACAGTGCAATCGGTATTATGTTGTTCGTATAAAGGTCCAGAATGTGAAACCTTGTTAGACCGGACCTCGTTAATACGGAAACCCCTCTTTGTGGACACTTCTGTGGCAATGTCTACATAATAGTTCTTTATGAAAGAACACCCGTTGTTTTTATATGACTGTAATTTGGCTGTCTTTGTTGATGTGTATTACTACCCACGTCTTTCCAATTATGGGTATTCTTTATCTTGGTTGGAGTAGTATACTTGGGAGCATTTCCTTAAGCATTTCCTTGTGATTTCGTCAATTTGGAAATTTATCCTGTTATTATGTTCCTTTCACGGGGATATCCGGTTTAACGGGTGTCACACTGTCCCAGAGATACTGTAGACAGTTATAGCTATTGATGACATAATCGCTTGGCATAATCGGGCTTCCCTGTGATCAACGCGTGATGGTCGACATTGAAATGTACCGTTATGTCGGAAGAAAATTTGCTGTGTAAATGGAACTGTTAACTTTGTATATGTGGCGCTGTACATGAACATTGATATCATCCCATTTATATAACATTTTACATTGTCCTGATAAATAGTTCCTTTATATACAAATGTCATGTTGAAATGTATTCTTTCAGCCGCTATACACACACCTCATCTACAACATCCTTTAAAATATATTGTTTTGTTTTATACGAATAAAGTTTGTTAAATGATATGTGTTTTGCTTCTTCGAGAGCCTCAGTCAAGAACACATGAATAGAAGAGTTATAAGAATGAGTGAATTTGTTGGTTTGTTCTTCAACGCCGCACTCAGCGATATTGCCGCTATCTGTAAATAATCTAGTCTGGACCAGACAATCCCGTGATCAACACCATGAGCATCGATCTACGCGATTGGGATACAATGACATGACAAGAACACATTGACCTGCCTCTTTAAAGGATAGAATTGCTTTACACCCATGGGCTTAACATTCAGTACAGCTTTGGAGCAAGTCAGACACCATCAACATTGACGAAGTCAGCGAGTCTGACCACCCGATCCCGTTAGTCGCATCTTCCGACAAGCATAGGTTGCTGAAGACCAATTCTATCCCGGATCTTCAAGTGTACATACATTATGAACACTCGATCCTCACTGTGTCCCCTCCTACAATAAGCCAGGACCAGCACCACTACAGACAGACAATCTATTACGCATGTGAAAATCCGGATTTAAAAACAACAATAGATAATGGACACAAGAATATCGCATTCCCTTTATGTGACCTTGCGGTTCCAGGCATAATCACAGTGACGGAAACAACCGATTACTGTCAGTGACAAATGTCCGTCACCGGATGTTGACGCATAACCAAACAGTACTTCCGGCTGATGATCGCGCGTGATGTCAGCAATCCTGGTAAATGTTGACAGGTCACATGCACTAAGGTCTTGTGACACCGTGACCTTTGTATTCTTGGACCTGTGAAGATCCACTATCGTATTGGTCGTAACTAATTCTGAATGTCGTAAAAGGCGACAATGCGTTTCGTATGAAGCGCTTAGCGGAATCTGGTGGTCAGGCTACCTGGTTTGGTTGATGCTTGTGATCATATCCCGCAAGCTTGGATCCATGCTCATGATGTCACTCACTGGATATGCTGTTCCAGACTCGCATATTTACAGACGATAATCATACCCTCGAATACTTCTGAAAGCAGTGTTAAAAAACGAACAAAACATTTTCTTAGATCGACAATTGCCTGATTTGCAAACCGTCTCCGATTGTTTCAAACTGTGGCATTGTCTTTCGTAATCAAGAAAATCTTAGAATTTCTATCGTTATCATTTGAAAGAATCGTGCTGCCAATTTCTTTTATTTCATTTATATCAACATCATTTCACGATTATTCAATTAAAAGAAATTGTTTCGTAACTTGACCCGACTTAAAAAGATCCAAGCGTATTCGACACTATCTACCACACAAGGGCACGTATATAATGTACGAATCAAAGATCACAGCAACTCCGTCAACAAAATGCGAGTCCAAATTAACAAATCCCATGTGCACTCACTTGTACTCTGCCTTACTAAAATTCTCCCCTGTTAGAATTGGTCATGCTCCTGTTGATGTTTCTCGTTGAGGAAGACTAACGGGATCGGGTGGTCAGGCCCGTTAAACAGTTTGATGCATGTCATTGTGTCCAAATTACGTAGTACTAAAATCCTCATACGTTTACTCACAGACTCGTTTAATGAGAGACTTCTGTCATGTAGCTGGATCATTGTTGTGGGTCGTGTAAAAAACAACAAACAGACAAATGCTAAATTATAAAGTCATGACTGAGTTATTTTTACGCCGCACTCAGTAATATTCCACCTATGTGGCGGCGGTCTGTTAGTAATCGAGTCTGGACCAGACAATCCAGTCATCAACAGTATGAGCATCGATCTACCCAACTGAGATACGATGACATGTGTCAAATAAGCCTGACCACCCGATCCCGTTTGTCGCCTCTTACGACAAACCTGGAATGGAAGGTTGGAGGTCATTCTGGACTCGTGCAACTGGGAACCGATGACATGTGTCAACCAAGTCAGCGAATCTGACCAGCCGATCCCGTAAGTCGCCTCTTACGACAAGCATGAGTCCAAGATTCCAGGTTATTTCAGCACCACGACCCACGTGAATAAAACACCTAAAACGTGCTTCATTTCAATCATCAACCCGATCATAACATGCAGTGATGGGACTTTAATGCTGTTCAAAACGGTGTTCAGCCAGTTCACCCAAAGCACATTAAGACCATACTTATACACTAAATTTATAACACTTGTAGCTGACGTCTTAATATAGGGGGCGGTGGGGTAGCCTAGTGGTTAAAGCGTTGGCTCGTCACGCCGAAGACCCGGGTTCGATTCCCCACATGGGCACAATGTGTGAAGCCCATTTCTAGTGTACCCCGCCGTGATATTGCTGGAATATTGCTAAAAGCGGCGTAAAACTAAACTCAGTCAGTCTTAATATAGACCAGTGCCTCTCAGCCGAGTGTGACACGAAAGTGATAGCAGTTTTTCGTTCGTACAAATTAAACAGATTAACTGGTTGATTAAAAGAGTAGCTTCGCTTGGACGTGCCGGGATCTGCTTGTCGTTGATTCGAATCCCAATTGCCATCATTATTCTGTTAGCGCCGTGTCCGTGGGTTTCCTTAAACTGATAGACATCAACTATTCAGCCATGTCTATTTTCTCTTCCTCCATTTAAGTGAAATAGCGACCGTAAACCCAAAGTCCTTACTCCCCAGCATCCCAGTAACCTCGAGTCGCCGTGGTTGTCAGAGTGGCTTAGTTCTGCATGGGACCGCTATCTAATATGAAGATCGAGTTATGGCCCTTTAACGGTATAGAAAGCTATCCCAGGATTCGAATCCAAGTTCTACGTAATTGTGTTTCCACGAG